GGATAAATACTGATGTACATGTAGGCCTATGAAAATCATGTTTCATAAGTAGGCCCAGTATTTATATAGCACCTTAGGTTTGTTGCTATTTTCTTGGTATGTATTATGCAATATTCTAAGTGCTGGTTTTTTTTTTTACTTTATCGTGGTAACGATAGACAAGTCAAAAGTATGGAGCTTAATTTGTGTATCTAGCAATGTTATTACTCTTATGTATTTATTATTATTGTAAAAGTACTTTCGATGATAACAGTAACAGCAAATGTGGAGAAATTCGAACTTCTTTTTCGTGTTTCGTTTCCGAACTCCGACCTTCTCTAGGCCCAAAGCCTAGGCTACCCCCCCCCCCTTCTCCCCCACCCAAAATTTAATGCGGGTCAAAGTTCAAAGGTTAGGGTGCAGATGAGGGCGGATAGTATTGTTTACTTCCTGCTTTCTTCCAGTAGGCGAGGCAGCAGCCAGAGCTGTTGTTGTTGTGCTAGATCTACTGCCCGGCGAATAAGGCAAGGTAAGTGATATTGGTAGATGTTTGTTTGTTTCTTTTAAAAGAAAGATCTAGATATCTAGAGATAAAGATTATTACTGTTGATATTTGAAGATCTGATAAACTGGCCATGGCCCGACATAGCACGTAGATCTGCATTATAGAATTAAATGGGTATTATTTTATTTTTTTGTCTTTGAGACTCGAGATCTTGTCATTTCTCGCTGCACAAGCCATATTAACCAGTCGTTCCCCAAGAATCGAACGTGTGTAATCCTGCAAAGCTGGAGTAGGCCTATACGTTAAATAGGCCTACATTATAGGACAGGACGATGACCTATTCTACACTTGAAACTTTAGTGTAACGTTCCCTCGGACACACTTAGTACGTAACACGGCAGCAGTCGTGTTAGAAGGACCAATTAAGAGGGACAAGAGGTGTGCAAACTGAATGTAAGGCATTTTGGATTGGGAAAGCTTTCTCTGAATGTCCTCATGGTTGAATAAATGGCAGTGAAAAGAGATGTTGATGTTCTGTTTAAAAAGATGCTTAAAATTATTGTTTAAAAATGCACTTGCATGCATGAGTGTTTCCATTTTCTGTTATTTGAGGTCATTATTTGATAACGAGAGGAAAGTGAAATGAAAACGATTGCACTGCGTGTGCACCTTTCGGTAAGTATGACAAATTATACTGTAGTATACTCCTCCATACTATCATAAAGGCCTATATTTGTCTACTGCAACAAACCATGATTTGTGCTGTATTCATCAATTTATAATGACCTGTGGTGAGAGTGCATTGATACACATTACTATTCTGGTCAAGTAGCTCTTACAGTCATACTGAATGCAAAGAATTTAAACAGGAGTGATGATATAGCTCCTTTGTTATCATACATTGTTTTACCTCTCATAATGGGCTGGATTTTTATGCCTTCATTGCTGAACGAGAAAGATTATATGTTTGTGCTATATATATGTTTCTGTTTTCATCTTGAGACTGACTTTTCTGTCATCTGATCCTTTACACTCAAGAAGTTGTTTTCAGCACTTGTAGGCATCCATAAATGTGTCTTAAATAGTGATCAACATTTCTTCCAGCGTCCATTTCTTTGTTCCCTACACTTTTAGAGTTATTCAGACAAAACAAACAAACAAAAATGCCTTTTCTAGTGGTCTGTGACTTTTGAGCTGCTGCAGAGGGGTTAAGGCACGGAATGTATTGCGACAAAGTTGCTAACGTTTTATGCTTATTGTGTGTTTGTATGTGTGTATGAGATTTGTCCTGAAGTCACCGACTAAACAGTTGACCAACAGGTAGTCGTCATGCGATACTGGGTGCAAATTTCTGTGGCCATGCGCTAAATTTGAAAAGGCTATCTGTGTTAAAAGTAGAACCTGTGAGCTTTAAAAGCCATCTCTACTGAGCTTTACTAGATTAAAGTTTGAGACTATGCTGTACAAGTAAATGTGTTGCTTGAAGAGATGTTAATGTCTTGATTGATGTGATAAAATTTCCCTCATTTTTATGCTCATGAGAACACTTACATGCTTGATCCCCCCCCCTCTCTCTCTCTCTCTCTCTCTCTCTCTCT